CCAGCTGCGTTCACACGTGCACATTTGTTCCGGCGTAGCGTCGCAAACGAGCATTTGCTCTGGAGCAAATTTTTAAACCACCTCCCTGAGGTGGATCAAATTTGGTCCAGTATAAGCTCTTTAGTGGAGCTACGCCGGAGCAAATGTGCACGTGTGAACGCTCGACTGGATTTATTTCGGAGCTGCGTCGGACCAAACGTTGCCGTGTGAACGGGGCTTTAGTCAACACCTGTCGTGGCGGCATGGAACGACGCACTTTGGCAGCATCTTCAGTGCAACGATGTCACAATCGTATCGTTTTAAAATTTTTCTCCTGGCACTTCAGATTCTCATTCTTGCCAGTGCCATCGGTGATTTGTACATTAAACAAACGTAGAATGAGAAAAATAAAAATAAAAAAAGATGTATGACAACAGCTCTAATCCCAAGCTGCAAGTGCAGACTGCTGACCGCCACCGTAGGTTAAATGGGACCTTCTTTGTTATATTATTTTATTTTTATAGTTTTTTGTGAAAGTGAAACTGAGAGGATGCTTAGGGTGTGCACTAACACAAAAATATAGAATATTAATAACGCACACAGACACACATCTTTTTTTTTTTAGTCTATCTCCCCCCACACCTCTGCGATTGACGTGGGACCAGTTCACGAGCTACTGGGCACCCCTGATATACATGAATAACAAGACATTGAGATTCTCAGAAGACAGTGTTGAGAGAACTGAAAGAAGCAAGTAGAGAACTCCACGGAAACGGAGCCACAGCCTGAGAGTGTGTAGGCTGAGGGTGAGATGCAAGCAGAGTGCCACACACAAATGCAATAATACAGATAAGTGCATTCACAAGCACTGGACCATCAGGTTCGTGATGTGGGGGTAAAATGTTTGTGTGTGTGTGTCTTATATTTTATTTCAATAACACAAAATTGAGGTTTATTTAACAAAGACAGCACATGCAAAATTGCCTTGTGAAAATGTGACGAAGATGTCTAGCTTCAGCATATTTGCAATCTTTGTTTCCAATCAGGGTTTTGAATATTCTTAGGAATCAAGTCACTTATCGAAAAGAATGGTTTTCAATTGCTCCAGCACGGTATTATCATTCGCGACCAGGAACTGTCAGATGCTCAGGGTGTTCTGCGCAAGGCCTAGCATTGTGAAGCAGCCACGAATTGTCCTGCCACATCGCTCACCTCTTCTCACGCACTGAACGAAGAAAATGGTGCCGGATCTCTTTGTAGACATGCTGATAGATTTTGAATGGGAAACATTGCAAATTGTAGCTCGGCTTTGAAATGTATCTGTTGTGACACAGGTAGAGCAACCTATGTGGAACACCTTGTGTCCACATAGGTTACCACATCGTTCATGCCACTTTTCATTGACGTTCCCGGCGGGCATGTCAACCACGTTTCAGGACACTCAGAAAAAAATGAAACAACACGGGGGGACGAGATTGTCAGAATCATAAACATCTTTATTGGCCAAGTATGTAGAACACACAAGGAATTTGACTCCAGTAGTGTAGGCTACATGAGTATTGTAAGAACAAGCAACTACGAGAAACAAAGACATGACAAATAAGTATCGAAAGACTTTCCGTAATATAAGGGTACCATTGAGCAGTAGTACCACCCAATGACAGCTCTGCGACAATGTGCAGAGTCATCGAGCAGAGATAAACTGATCAGTGGTGAAATAAAATATTGTGTCGTTGCTGTAGCTAGTTGTTGCGCCATTTTTTTAAGTGAACAGTACCAGTAATTGTAATTTAACTTTGGGTGTGCAATTATCCAGGAAATCCTTGAGGATCTTAAGTGTCCGGTGCTGTGGAATATTGATCAACAACAATCGTTCAAGTATGTAGAGAGCTGGAGCCACAATGATTAGTATGGTAATACTGTTCCACAGGGGTGTGCAAAAATGCAATGAGCCACTATCGATTTGTGTTACTGTTTAAGGAGTTAATGGCGATAGGGAAGAAGCTGTTTGAATGTCTGCTGGTTTTGGTGCGCATAGTTCAGTCACTCTTACCTGAAAGGAGTAGCTGGAAAAGGTGGTGGGCAGGGTGTGGGAGGTCCAGTCGGATTATCCATGCCCTTGTCTTGGTTCTAGCGGTGTGCAAGTCTTCAAGAGTGGGTAGGGCGGTAAAAATGATTTTTTCCGCAGTCCTGACTGTCTGTTGCAGTCGGATTTTGTCCTTTTTTGTGGCAGCCCCAAAACAGATTGTGATAGAGGAACACAGAAATGATTTGATGACTGCTGAATAGAACTGTCTCAGCAGTTCCTGTGGCAGGGTGTGCTTCCTCAGTAGCCTCAGGAAGTACACCCTCTGATGAGGTTGTTGTTTTTTTTTCTCCATACCGTGATTGCCATGGATGCCGGAGACAGATTTTTCATTTGTCAAAAAAATTGCCATGGCCGTCACTGTACAGATGAGAAGCCTAATAAAGTGGAGTGAATGCAACAAAACATGACAGTACATCAGAGGCCACAACACAAACCTGGAGCCTGTCTGTAATGAGATGGGCAGCGTACAAGTTTTGTTACGGTCTGCCATATTTGTGTGCGTTTTGTCCTGTTTTTACACAATAGGCTCGATTGTACGGTGGTCGTTCTGCCAATCACTTCGCATCCCCACGTGTGACGGTTTGTGGCCCTGGCGTGAAACAAAGCATTACATTCTACCGCACTCGCACCTGAGGCAGGCGGTCTGAAACAGTGTAGGGGTGCCCCCGTAATGTTTTTGGGCCGCTGCGGCGAGAGGGAAAATAATGTGGATCTAGCAAAATCAAATACAGAGCTGCAATGTCTACCTGCAGCTTGTGCGAGATTCCGGAACGACAGCATAAAGGCTTTGTCGTCAACAAAATGCTGATGTTAGTGGCAATAACTGATGATGGGTGAGTCACCGTCCTGGTTTTGGAGACATCTGCGATGTCAGACGCCGACAGCCAAACTGCTGTGACAGGTTCTTTATGTTCTCTCTCTGCACAATTCCATCTGCTGATGAATTGCCCCCCTCAGCATGAGCGGCCTGGAAGCCGGCAGGGGAGACCATCAGACTACATTCATTAGGGCTGACTTCCGATTTATGAGTTACAATCTCTGTTTGAATTTTGTCGGTTTACTGTCTAATAGCTCAGGGAATACAATATGTAGCCGCATATGGGTTGAAGGGTTGGAGTGACGCATATTGCCGTCGGAAACCTGCAGTTTCATTTGCACCACCCCCTTGATCTCTCCAAGATCACCAACGAATCATAGGGAACTTTTTATTTCTCATGTTTTGAAAATAAATCTTCTTAAACCTTTATTTCTTACAACACAATGATGTCAGTGGTTATGAACGGAATTAAAAGGAAAGCGGCTCAGAACAATTCTCCAAACTGTGAAGTTATGTAAGAGCTGATGTGGAAAGAAACAAGCTAGAGCACAATCATGACAGACTGAAATTTGCCTGAGCACCATGAATGAGACTTTTCGGCGTATTCTGCTTGCACGTTTATCACAGTGTTCTCTTTGAAGGTGTCACATCATTAAAGACAAGAGCTCAACGCAAAAGGTTACAATTGACACGTCATGCATAAATGATGACCACGGTGACAAGGGCATTAATTACGATGTCCCATCAATGGCTTGCGTCCTAATCAATCGCCTCCCTCCTCAGTAAATCAGTAACAAACTTTGGAACATCATTTAGGATTGTCAGGTTAGAAATACGACACGAACATACAAACACCATGCTTTGAAAAAAAGCAAAGCAAAGATCAAAACATGACCATACGTCATCTCATGCTGCCTAAGAGCGACGTTTGTCATTGTGCTCGTAAGGGTTGTGCATCAGCAACTCTTCTTGTAAACATCCCCGACTCGCTACAGTCAATCTGGCGCACCGGCGTCAGAGCCCTCTGGCAGAATGCAAAGTGCCCTCGCGCAAGACCAGCCCGCTAAACGGACGCCGGTGAACGCATTTTAAAGAGGGAGAAAGGATGGAGTCCAATGAACAGAAGAATGAGTTCCATTTGTTCCCTGTTCACAATCACACCAGCGAGGTTATAAATGTGAATGTGTTGTTATTGTTCTCACTGACAAAGTTGATTTGGCACTGCTCCAGTCTCGCAATATCCCTGAGATCCAACTGGGAGAGCAACTGCGTCGGGTCTGCGTTTGTGGTGAAAACCTTCTGCTTCCTTTTGGGCTCCGTCTCCAAGGGTTGCTGGGCTCCCGCCTTCTGGTTGTCGCTTCCATCGTCGTCGTCATCCTCCTCCTCTTCCTCCTCCTCCGTGATGGAGCAAAGACGAGTAGCACTTCCAGGCGTGTCGGCGGATGACCTATAGTGGCAGTGCCCATTCAGCAGCCTCCTCAGGGGCATCAAGGGCACCGCCTCCTCCCCCAGCAGCTGTTGCTGGCAGTGCCGAAAGTCACTCTGGCGCTTGAGACGCTTAAACTCACTGAAGGCAGAGGTGGCGTGCTGATAGAGGCTTCGCGCAATGGCTTGGGCCTTCTCCGCCTTACTCACCAAGACAGCGTGACAACGAAGGACGACGGCCATGTTCTTAACCTGGTGCCTGTAGATCCAGGCCAGGATCTTGGGCCGACACGGGTCCGCTGTACAGCAGGTGATCCGGCTCAGGGAGTAAAGATGAATGGGACTTTTTTTCCCCGATTTGTCAGCACTCATGCGGATGCCTTGCGGTCCCACGGCCAACCTCATTTTCAGGCTCTGCTCCCCGTAGCTGCTCTTTGCCCAGATCTTGGCCACCGCTTCCTGGGTGCAACCTTCCCCCTTAGCTGTGATGGTGACCACACTTCCCAGATAGCGCACAGTGTACACGGGCTCCTCTCGGTTTAGTTCCACCTTCTGGCGTTTGGTATGAAAGATGTTTCCCACCCAATCGAAGGGGCAGTCGGGCAGCAGGTCAGGACAGGAGCGCAGCAGAGATGAGAGGATGGAGTGATAGGTCAGTCCTGTTCCGAGACTCTTGGCTTTCATTTTATTGTCATCCTCCACCAGAACAAACTTATTCCTCCTCCAGGGTAGCATGGCGTGGCAGCAGGAGGCGCTCCTGTGCCCCTTGGTTGCCTCTTTGCAGCTCAGACTGGATAAACTGGAGGTTCAGCGTCGATGAGAGCGAGCGCAAGAGAGAGGACAGACAGAGAAGCTGCTTTGCCTCGCACAGAAGAGTGACTGAGAGCCAACCAGGCTCAGTCGGTCTGCTCGCCTCCTCGCTCCTCCTTCTCTCGCCTCCTCTTTCTTCTTTCTCCTGTGCCGTTTGCATCATGATACGCCGAGCCGAGCGTTTGGAGCGTGCACACCCCTCCCCGCCTCTTTGTTTGGCTTCCAAATGGATCCCCTCGGAAGCATTACTGAGCTGTCCAGCTCTGCAATGAACTATCGCTATATATATGACTCCTATAAAGCAGAGGATCCATCGCCCACGGGAACTCTCGAGGGGGGTTAAATGACGGCCGTGTGACTACTTCTGGATTCCGCTTGATTGAACATGAAACCATTTCTTGTTTGTGAGAGCAGCACATTTGTCAAGAATCTTGACATGTCGCATATCTGTAACAAACCTTATTGTTCAGTGTGCACAATGTCCGTGATCATGCCGTTTTCTTTCCCCTCTACCTGTTTGCTTTACCAGTGACAAAACTGTGTGTTGCAAAGATTTGAAAGGTGAAATTTAACAGCTCGCTTCTTATTTCTAACTCAAACAGAGGACAGTGGCGCTGTTCCTGACCACCTGAAACTTTTCTAGAACTAGAACAAAATTTCAGTTCACGCGTACTTAACAACCTAAACGGTAAGTTACAATTAAATGTCACAAAAATGAGGAATGTTCATAATCAGAGTGTGTTGGTAGGACCACAGAGAGTGGGAAAAAAAACATCTTAGACGCAATGCATTTGCATTTTTGTTGTTCAAATATTACATTTCAGCCAATACTGCATGATTGTATACGCCTGGGCTTGTTTTAAAAGGTCATATAGTAAAAAAAGAAAAAAAGTAATGTCCTAACTTTTTGGGAAGTGGGTTACAAACACGTATGGCATTACTCAAAAGCATCATCACAACACTGACAGAGGAATAACCCAATGGGTTCAAACAAAAATATCCATGGAGACGCCAGGTCATCAATTTTTCTTTCGAATGCAAAATGGAAATACTTTCCTCAATCCTTCTGGTGTTGTTTTTTTAAATAATTTCTATCATGTGCATCTGTCTGACTTCCTGTTCCTTTTGGTGCTCTGTTCAGCTGCAAAGTATTGCATACCCAATTCCAACTGTCATTTAAACAGGCTAGGCTGCAAAATTGTCTTTTTTGTGAGTCTACACAGGCGCCCTGACCAGTCAGTTGCGGCAGCAATAAAGATGAAAAGTAAAGACTCCATGTCTGAGGTGATTGTGCGCCCCTGTGTGCGCATCTGGGTGCCGGAAAAGAAAAATGTCAAATGACATATGAATTCTTTTGATATGTTCTAGAATGCAGTTTGAAGAAAATATTTCACAGACGAGGGTGTTGCCCAACATTTGTTTCCAAATAAAACAATGCTACAGTGTCAACGTTATAAAATAGTTGCCATTTAGATTGTGCGGTGATATTAGTTGGAAAGCTGAGTGACTGAACCAAATTTTGTGCCAATTCCTGTGAATAATTTTTGAGACACATTACCAAGAAATCATTTTGTGGTAGCTCGGGAGTAAAGAAAAGTTCCATGTAAGTCATAACAAATATAGTAGCATTGCTTTATTCTTTTTAATCATGCTGGCGTGAAGCATCCACTTCCCAAATGTGTTTTTCCACTAGACTACTTTGGAAATTTTGGAGCTGTGTTTGTTAAGATTTTCTTTCAAGCACGGGCGTCATCACTGAGTCAGACTCTTCATCACACAGCAGTGCGATGTAATCAATGAAAGGGGTCTTGTGAGAGTGCCCCACCTCCGGCTAGACTGATTAATGTCATGTGTGAAGGGGATGGTGAGATTGCGAGCCGCTCAGTTACGCACGCGAGTGAAGATGTTACGGAGACAAATGCATTCCATCATGAAAGACACTTTCCCCATAGAAAGGCCTGGAATGGTTTTGCCGAGGGTCTATGAGGAAGGAGCAATTTACGAGCGACAGTGGTGGAACCCAATTTTACTTTGGTTCTCTGGCATTTTGTTCATGATGTAATGAGGAGACAGATGTGTGCAGCACAACACACTTTCAGTCAGTGCATTGCTTACCCTTTATCAGCAAAGTGCTGTACCACATTGAGGGATCAAGGGAGCTTCTACGGTCAAATAAAAAGAAGATCCACCAATTAGCCGACAGTAATGAAGACCGGGGGCTCCACGTCAAAGAGCAAATTTCACGTGGCATTGGAAAGACTAAAAGCAAGGTCAACACTTGGGTAAGCGCGCTATACTCACATCGATACTTAGTGGTGGTTTTGGGCACTTACTTTAGGTGTGTTAAATAAACACTGTATGTATAAATAAAGCTAAACACTTCCTGCCATCTTTCCTTTCTGTATTGTGTGGGACAGCAAAAAGCCTATGCCCAAGTTGCCAGTATTTTTTTTTTCTTAATTGGACTTTGTAGCACAAAAGAATGTTGACTGATCTTTTTTTCGATTGTAGCCATGAAAAAAAAGCACAAAAATTCTGTTCTAACCAGCAATCTTTTTCAACATTTTACAGTACATCTCCATCATTTCATTTGTATTAACGTAGTTGTGTAACACTGCAATTAATCATGAACCATTTAGCATACTGTACTATGGTTTTCCTTTTATGTCATCCAAAAACCAATCTACAGACAACACATTGCTTCTCAATGTTTGAGTGGAATCTATGCATCAAATAATCATCAAGAATCAGTAAAACACACATACGCCGGGTATAAGAAGACATGCAAACATTGACTGCGCCTCTGAGTTTCCAATGGGTTCCGTGCCCTGTTTAAGGGCACCCCGACAGTCATCAGAATGCAGACTAGCATATCTCCACAACTATAGTTGCGTTTCCCTTTTCTCTAACCCACAGTAGGAGCCATACTACAAGATTGGTGAACTATCCTAATCACACAAAAACAGCAAAGGGCTTGCAGATGTTTTTGAGGTCACAAGAAGTTCACACCTCTTCCTGTCAGACAGTTTCTCAAAGGTCTAATATTCACATGTCAGGCTGATCATGTCAGACTCGTCCAGCCAGAGGACATGCAAAAGCAAAAACATAGAGCATCCAGTCTTTGTATTGTCATTGCAATGTTATTCATGAAAATTACTCTCTATATTTTGTTTATTTACAGGCAACATGTGACATTTTAAATTTAAATCACTTTGCCATTTTCACCCCTCTGAAGAATTAGATTCCGTAGTGCAATTCCCTTTAAAATGCAGTGTGAATGCTAAGAAATGCTGTTGATGGGCGTAAATGTCAAAGACAACTGGGCTAATATATCACAGTGCACCATATCACAGCAAGTCATACCAGTTCCCAAATGTCACACATGTATGACAACTCAGGGTCTATAAGCAGAATAGAGAAGTGATGAGATCACTGCAGAATCTTTTTCTCTGTATATAACACAAGTCAACCGTGGCTGATTGATTTGATCATGCTGGCTTGCTTGCTTGCTCATGAGTTGGAAAAAACTAACACTGATAGCAACTGATTTTGAGAAGCGAGATATTCCCTGATTCATGAATTTATTTCAGAGAATCATTTGATGTTGTTGGCTGCAATAATGACTTGTGGCAACTGTGTTGTGTTCAAGCCCAAATAAGCACAAGCTTCTGGTGTTCAAAAATTCTCTTGCTGTTTAGTCTGAAAAACACAAACACAGGGCGTATTTTGCAGTTGTTACCATTAGCTAATTTACCTTTTTTTTCACTTTTTCCCCTTTGTTTTGCTATTCAACTGTCAGCTTGCAATGTTAGTAAAACTATGGGAGCATCACATGCTGTTTTCACGGAATATGCAACATAATCTTTTGCTTGTTCTCATTTCAATCACGAGATACATTGCTTAAGGAGTAATAAACTCTTTTGAGTCATCAAAACGGATATTGCAAATATTAGACAGTAAATGCTGCATTTTTACTTTTGTACTTTAATACATTTCAGCCTCGATACGTTTTAGTTTTACTTTTAATTAAAGTACATGAATTGGATGAGCATTTTTACATCTGCCACTTTTTTTCTCCACAAGTAGATTGGGCCACCTACTGGAAAACGAAGAAACATGTTTTTGCACGCACAACACTAACGTGAAAGTCCAACACTCAGCACTCACATGGTTACAAATGACTACACTGACATTCAGCGGTGAAAGGGACGAAGTGCAGGGTTGCCAGTTTTTTTTTTCATTATTAACTTTTGATATGCAAGATTATGTGCATCAACACACAAAAATAATGTGTATTATAATAATAATAATAATAATAATACAACTAATAACGTCGTCTGTTCCAGCAAAATTACGATATATTTTAAATGTAAAATAAATGACAAATTTCCTACTCTGTACGATCATGACTGAAAAACGTCACCGGTATCTGGCAACGTAAGACGTCAGTTGAAGGTTTGTTGACAAAGCTTCACTGACCGCAGGCCGCCGTGACCTCATCAGGGACGCGCAAATGATTCTTATTGGTAATATCTTGACAGTTGGGAAATGCCTCAGCAATATTAATCTGCAGGACCGTTCGAAGCGTGTTATGTGGTTGGCTGGAGTGACGCCGGCCAATTGTTAATTCAGGGAGCTAGCATGTATGCTAGCAAGCGCATTCAAATGAGGGAAAGCAAAGCGTTCGTAAACGGCGTTTCCACATCAAACTATCGCTCGTTTTAAACTTTCATCAGTGTCTGTTGGCATGAAAAGGTAAGGTCGTCCCTGATCGTCGCCATATCACATTGCTCTGACGCATGAGCGTTATACTACGTTTTTTTTTTGTTTTTTTTTTAAAACAAGGAGTCATCAAATCAAAGAATAAACCGTGGTAAATGTGAATTTTATCAGTGGTCATCGAAATTGCATTCATGGCATGCGCGGCTTGGAATGGAAGTTAAATAATATTTGAAAAGAAGCCAATTAGTTTGGGGGACATAAATCCACATTTGGGGAATTTCATTTCGAGATTGCAGGTAAACTCATGGCATCTCCTGGAAGTGGAATTACACACATGAAAACCCGAATTTAAGGCAGATTTTTCAGAATCTCTTCTTCATCGAAGCTTCTTGTTTGTGCTGTTAAAGAGTTGAATTATTTGAATATGATGTTTTGCTTGCCATTCATGCCTGACAACCTTTTTTACAATATTTTGGACCTGTGTGTAATAATATGGACAGGCCAACAAAAATTGACAATATTTTCTCAGATCCTGTTTTATTTGAAATCTAAATATGGATTAAAATTCCAAATTACAGTAACAGCAAAACCAGTCAACTTGAATGACACAGTACTGATTTAACAAGCCTTGAAACAAGTAACATGTCAACCTTAAAAATCCGAATCATCTAAATGTAAGTAAAAACAGGAATTTGTCTTTACAGTTACAACCAGTCCAAGAAACATGAAAAGTAACAATGACCAACAGGGGGGACAAAACGGGCAGCCTGGTGGTTAGCTTCTTAGTTTCTTAGATGGGGAAGAGAGAAAATATGAGGAAGATGGGCGGGGGCAGCCTCTGCCCCTGTAGAGAGGGACATGTATGATATTTCTTTTCAATGTAGACCAGTTTGACACAAATGTGTGCTCTTATCGCTGTCATGACAGTCCATGATGCTGGACTGGAATCCGTCAGCTTTACAGGTGGGCCTTTTGGCTACCAGCTCGGCCCTCACTGCTGTCTTCTACAATGTGTATAGGAACAAAGCAGCGACAGTGACCAAACTGAAGGTCTGCCACATTCAAAACACACACGCTCCACCACAGTGTCACAATATGGAAGTGAATCAATCACAGGTGTCACACAACCGAAATCTCTCCTGTGCACAGGATGCCAAGAAAGTTTCCATTGACCAGGATTTGAAAATAATCCTGTCTGAAACACCTGGAAGATGTTTCCCTTATGCTGTCATCGAGGGTGAGTCGACTCGTGATTCCCCACCGCAGGGCCACAAGAAATGTACCAATTTCACTTAATTGTGCCAAACGTTCTTTATTTACCACATAACGTTACGTAACATGTAGTTGTACAACCATTACCTCCAAGCTGATCAGACACTGCTTTGATGGTAGTACGTTCTTATAGAGATGCCACATGCATTCGGAGTCTTCACGGACAATTGGAATTTAGGAACACACACACAACCTCAGCTGTAACCGAGCGAACATTCGACAGGCTGTATTACGACCGCGGCACAATATGTCCTTCTTTGCAGGCGTGGCGAGGTCTGTGAAAGAAACTCTCCATAGCCAGTTTCTCGACAACTGCAAAGGCGTCATTGAGAGACTGACTTTGAAGGAGGAGAAAATGGTGTGGAACCGCACCACCCAACTGTGGTAAGTTGGCAAGCAAGCATGTCAAATGTGTAACGATTCATTTGTACGAATTCCATTGATGGATGATATTGGTTCATTTTTTTAACAATCTGGTCTCAACCGTTGAAGGATTACAAATACAAAATTAAAGTGAAATAAACATCTCTTCAATCAGGTTGAAAGTTATGAGCCCCCATACGAACGCCAGGCCCTTGTCGTCTTTGAGGCACGAATCGGTCGCAGCATTTTTATTATTTTATTTACTTATTTTTTTTTATCTTGTCGCATGGCTGCAGAGGGCCGCAAGAAGTGATGGATGGTTGGCGCTGGGATGAATCCCATATAGGGCCTTAGTAGGTGGTTTTGCCATCATGGTGGCTTAACGGTATACCTCACATCCCAAATGTTGATGCAAATGGTGTTTGGCACTCAGCACAAGTCATCAACTGTTAGCGAATACTTCAAATGTTTTCAAACAAACATCCACAAAGTGGAAGAAACTACTTTTGCCTCTCAAATTGAATTATCTTTGTCGACAGTGTTTTGAAGATAAATTGTGTTATTCTTTTCATCATAAATGGTTTATTTGTATCTTGGAATATTGAGAAAACTTTTTCAGTATATTTGTACAAATTTGAGTCATAATGTCACCTATTTTTCTGAGACCCTCCCTTCTCACTCTGCCCACCTTCAACTTTTTAACAAACCATTTCGCCCATGCCAAAATAGTGTTTTTAGTGAATATATATTGTCATGTCGCAGGCCACTGAAAAATGGATGATGTGCCGCAAATGGTCCCCAGGCCTTAGTTTGGACATATTCTTATTTTATAGCAGAGTTTATCCCTACAGGCTATTTATAAAAATCTGAGGAAAAAAAACTAAATTTGCATAATCATTTGAGAATGCAGCGTAGAATGAATCGTTACAACAGGAGTTCCGCAGCATGATTTGACTTCATTCACGTTTCCTATGCGCAGGAGCAACACTCAGAAAGTCATCCACCAGCGCACCAACACCGTTCCGTTTGCGCTCGGCCCGCACGACGACGACATTGCCGCCACCGTTCGCATCATGCGCCCGCTTGACGCCGCCGAGTTGAATCTGGAGACCACGTATGAGAACTTCCACCCCGCAGTTCAGTCCCTGTCCAGCGCCATCGGCAACTTCATTAGTGGCGAGCGACCCAAAGGCATTCACGAAACCGAGGAGATGTTGCGCGTGGGCGACAGCGTCACAGGCGTAGGCGAGCTGGTGCTGGATAACAACATCATTAAGCTCCAGCCGCCCAAGCAAGGCTTCACTTATTTCCTCACTCGGCTGGACTACGACGCTCTCCTGAGGAAGCAAGAGCGAGATGTCCGACTGTGGAGGATTCTGACTGTAGTCTTCGGCCTTGCTGCCTGCTCCACTTTCGTCTACCTACTGTGGAAGCAGTACGTCTGCCACAGACAGAGGAAGCGCGTGAAGCGCATGCTTCGGGAGTTTGAGGAGCAAGAGAAGAAAAATAAGGGGGAACACAATTTGGAGGAAGGCGGCGCGCAAGCCAGCAGGTGCACCGTCTGCTTGTTCCAGGAGCGCTCCTGCGTCTTTCTGGAGTGCGGTCACGTGTGCACGTGCACGAGATGCTACCAGGCTCTGCCGGAGCCAAAGACGTGTCCCATCTGCAGGGCGCCTATCGACAGGATGGTGCTCATATACAATATCTAATGCGGGCACACTCGCGTCACACTGACCCTCTTTGTTTTGTTATGTTTTCTTGCCTGTGGACTAAATTGCCTCCATCATCAAGTTGGCTTTTGCAGGGAAAAGGGAAGTAATGGGGCTGCGTACAATTCAGACCTAACATCATGACTAATTGCAATACAACGGTATGAAATATTCTGCCTTTGAGATGTTTTTGTTATAAATTGAAAAGTCTATTCGACAGTCTGCTGTTTGAGTTTGCAGTGGTGTGCAACTTCAGTATTTTGCTTGATTCTGTTTGGTTCAGAAATATTCGTAACCGCTTCCAGTGTGATGCAGTGCAGTCTACACCACTGCAAACCACAACCACAATGATAAACAACACAATTATCAGTGGCTGATACTGGTTTTACACAGTATATTTATCTCGTGTAAACACATGCATACCACTAGACTGTACTTCCAATGATTGCTATTTCAGGCAAGGAGTGTGGGAGGGGGATAACTGGCAAAAGGCACATAGAGGACTCTTGCATTCTGTAAATCTTAGAATTTGGGTTGTAACATTAAGATAATACAGTGAACTGCCACCAAACTCACCGACTCATTTTTTTTGGGGGGGCGGAGGGGGACCAAACTACCAGCTATTTACACCTTTCCTCATATTTTGTGCTCTTGCTGTAATGCACTAAGACAAAACCTAAGTACCTCACCCTTTCGAAGACGCCAAGTTAGGTGAGTCGCTCGGGTTGGCCACCAACTCATGGCCGGTTTGACAGCCAACAGCAGAGTGATGAGGACAGTCCTCATGCCAAAACCACGCAGGTGAAATAAATGTGAGGTTTTGTTTCCCCAAGACCCTGAAATGCATAGAATCAGGTGTTAGAATCAACCAAAATGCTTACATTTAATTGACATTATTTCATGTCATATTAGCCTGGAGGCGCTGGGGTCACTTGGTGATCAGTAAGGAAAGAGAAGGCAAAGCATTTAGACGTACTTGAAGTTGAAATTGCTTTATTAGCAATTAACCTTGTCATTTTTTTTATAGACTAGTAGCCTGAACCTGAGCATAGCATAGTGAGAGATACTTCATGTGTACTTGATTGTGTGAAGGGCTACCAAATTGATACACATCTGAAATAACATCTGTACAAATTACATTTAATAATATTAGAATGTGTTATTTTAATACTTAATGATTTACATTTTCAGGCTCTGATCATCTTAAAGATGTCTCACAATACTGCCAGTGTTTGCGTTTTTAAATCATAATTTCTACTAGCAAATCACAATCCTAGCACTGGCAGGCTATTGGTGTGGTCCTCACAGGCTACCTGGTGCCCGCGGGCACCACGTTGGTGACCCCTGCTCTAGGCTATTAAAAAGTGCTGGAAATTAAACAGAAATTTAGACTTTGACAACACGTAATAGCCTGAACTTGAGCAGATAGACCTGGCCTACTGTATTGAAGACAGATAATGTGCTGTTAACTAAACAAAGCCTGTCTGGGGACACTTTGAAAGAGGACAATACTTAAATTATTAATGTAAGGTGAGTTTGAAATGAGAAAGTATTTTGCATTTATAGTTTGAGGTTTAAAATCTTCATGTAGAGGCAATTTTTGAAAAACATTTTTACGGGTGGAGTCCACGATTCTTGGGCTTACTCCATGACTCCTGCAAATAATGGAGCGAGCGGTCACTCTTTTCCCACATTGTTATCGACTCCTTTGGCATTCAAGGATTTCCGGCTAACTTCGCTGCTGATCGTGAGGCTGCCAAATCAAATCAGTTTCTCCGGGAACGATATGAACCAGACCTCAGCTTGAACACCTGCAACCTGCCGATATAGTGATGAAATGAGGACCACTGAAGACCCCTGCACAGTCTGATTTTTGTGCGAATGAATGTTGGTTACCGTAGAATTCAGACTGACGTGGAGGGCTTAATGTGGTTCAGACAACAGGGAGGCCAATGAGTGAGGACGACTGTGGGGTCGGGGCAATTGGAGGTTGAAATTAGTTGGATTTCTGTAATGTGGAAGTCATAAAACTGAGGTGGGATTTTCAACTTCCATACAACACGGAAATATTTAAGTGCTAGTACCATTAACAAGGCACTCAGGTTCGTATTACAAAAAAAAAGGGAACATGAGACGTGTTTCAGATACAAAAATACATGTTTTTACTTTCTCAAAAGACACGTTATAAATTACTATTTACACAGGGATATGAAATCAGAAAAACTAGTAGGGCTGGAGCTGGAACGATAAACCAAAAAGGGGTACCCGAGGTTTGTGGCGCGCACACACACAGCACAACGGTGAAGAAAATCAAAAGGACTGACGTAGCACACCACGGGAAAGGGACACCACCACCGGGGCAGACTGAATTTTAGTCATCCCCCAACCAGACCGGTCGAGGGTACACCATGGCACCCCACGTATCCAGTTGGACTACTTTCATTACGATCTGATGTTACATTTCAAACTAAAAGGCCTCTGAAATCTTTACACCTGATTAAAAATAAAAAAATCAGTTTTTGTTATCCTGCAACGAGACCAGGTCTAGGGCACTACTTCATTTCAAGGTAATTCTTAGTTTACTATTCACATATTTTATTGCTGGCGAAATGTCGAATTTGCCATACAGAATTATCATTTACCAACAAAAGCACCTCCTCCATGCTGTGTTTTGGTTTAATTTTCAGACCATAAAAAAAAAAAAATGGTGGCCAACAAATACCAGGAGGAACGGGAAAAAGTCAAAATGCAAGTACAGCAAGCTGTGGCGGTGAGTAGAACAACTGACGTGTGGACCTCTGAACATGGAGGCTTACTTGGCACTACATTAATGTGAATATGCAGTTGTGTTCATTAGTGTTGGAGTACAATACTTTCCATACTGCTGACAATTTGGCCCAGGTCAAAAGGGGGCCATACCTAACAAAGTGTCAACACTAGTGATGGGTCAAGCAACACTGATGTGTCGACCTCACAGAGCAATCCCCGTGTTGGTGCGCCTACTACTTCAAGACAATCACGTGACCAATGCATGAATGTCTAGGGGGCGTCGACGCCGCAAAAGCCCGCCAAACTGTGTTTATAAGGATGTGCGTCTAGCGACGCGATGCCGCCTGCCGAAACAAGGCAGACCTCACCCTCGCTCGCTTGTCGTAGTACATGCACATATATTATGGAGTAGCTCCCGGGGAAACGCAAATTGTCCGCCGTGTGGGACCATTTTGATGGCCTTTTGGAGAAGAAGGTATTTATTCAAATCTCCTTGTCTCACCAAGTGCCTCTCAGATTATTGACATGTCTTGTTCCATTCTAATTCAAATTCATTTCAAGGTAACTCCTAGTTTACTATTCACATATATTATTGCAGGTGAAATGTCAAATTTGCCATGCATAACTATCATATGCCAACAAAAGCACCTCCTCCATGCTGAGGCATTATCGGGCCAAGCATGAGAATGAAGTTCCAGATACACCCAGGATAACGTCAGGTATACAGCCATTCTCTTTTCGCAGTTGCTTTGTTGATCATTAATTGTGATTGGTTTACTCCCCACTTCATATTTCACAATCAAGCTTCCAGAAAGCAGTTGCTCAATCAAGCACTGCTGAACTTCATTGTCAAGGACTGCCAGGCCCTCAGCATTGTGGAGAGTGAAGGGTTCAAGGAACCGATTCAGGTCCTTGAACCCTCATATGTTTTGACGACAAGAAAGGTCTGTGTGAAAGCTCCATAGAGTAGTAGTTGATGTCGATGAGATGAATCGGCTATAATTTAAATGTAGTATTTGCATTTGGTTTAATTTTCAGACCATCAAAAAAATGGTGGCCAACAAATATCAGGAGGAACGGGAAAAAGTGAAAATGGGAAGTACAGCAAGCTGTGGCAGTGAGTAGAACAACTGACATGTGGACCTCTGTGAACATGGAGGGCTACTTGGCACTCACCTGTTCATCAGTGTTGGGAGTACAACACTTTACACAGAATCACACTGCTGACAATTTGGCCCAGGTCAAAAGGGGCATGATGGAGGACTGGGCCATAACCAACAAAGTGTCTTGTGACTGACGCAGCACCAAACATGATAGCATCCACTAGACACCTCCAAATATGCCACTCAATTTGCATTCCACAGTCTTAATTTATGTTAGAAAATCATGCGATCAGGTCCCTGCACTTACAGACATCAGAAACAAAGCTCGGCACGGCACATTGTCACATATTTCCGTTCAAGCACTACAGCCAAGGAGAAGCTCGCTCAGGTGCAGCAACAGATGGGACGGCCAACCCTGAAACTCATCAATGAGGTGCCAACATGCTGGAACAGTACTTATGAAATGCTGTCAAGGCTGATAAGAGGGAACCAGTGTGGGTATCTCTGGCCTCCTAAAAGACAGATTTGACTCCATTGACAGCTGATGAGTTCACCATCATAAGAGAAGCCCTACTAGTGCTTTCTCCGTTCCATCAAGCTACAGTGGAGTTGTCTGAAGAGAGGCGAGTGTCGGCTCATCCCGATGATGAGTTGAAGTACCTTGGGGTCTTGTTCACGAGTGAGCGAGAGATCGATAGGCGGATCGGTGCAGCGTCTGCTGTGATGCGGACATTGTATCAGTCTGTCGTGGTGGAGAAGGAGCTGAGCCAAAAGGCAAAGCTCTCAATTTACTGGGCGATCTACGTTCCAACCCTCAGCTATGGTCTCAAGACCAAAAGAATTGAGATCCCGGATACAAGCGGCAGAAATGAGTTTTCTTCACAGGGTGCCCAGGCTCTCACTTACAGATAAGGTGAGAAGCTCGGTCATCCGGGAGGGATCGGAGTAGAGCCGCTTCTCCTCCACATCGAGAGGAGCCAGATGAGGTGGCTCGGGCATCTGATTAGGAGGCCTCCTGGATGCCTCCCTGGTGAGGTCTTCCGGGAATGTCCCACCGGCAGGAGGCCCCGGGGACGACCCAGGACACGCTGGCGAGACTGTCTCCAAGCTGGCCTGGGAACGCCTCGGGATTCCCCGGGAAGAGCCGGAAGAAGTGGCTGGGAAGAGGGAAGTCTGGGCTTCCCTGCTAAAGCTTCTACCCCCAAGACCCAACACTGGATAAGCGGTAGAAGATAGATAGATAGATGGATGGACGATCACCCATGCAAAGAAAGGATGCATATTTACAACACCATAAATAAACTAAATTGAATGTACACTAACTGATATTCCATTATGTTGTTGTGATTGATCTCTCCATGCACTGTGGCTCAATGGCAAAACCACCTGGAACAGGTCCTTTTCTGACAATATGGGCGAGTTTCACATTGCAAGAACACAATTTATCTTACTTCATATATTGTCCTCACTATGGTTTGCATACGCCACTGAAATGGGATTGGTTCGAGTAAGAAAAAAAATATATGAATGTTAAATCTTGAATTTTCAAAGCAATTTAGAATTATCCTGGTTGAAAGTTGTCCAATACATATTCTTGCAGTACATTGTTTTGTAATGCTGTTTTGATTTATTTTACTTTGAATAGATCCGGTGCGACAACTATGAAAGGCGGTATGACGAGCCGTGCCTGGGGATGAACTCGCACGAATCGAGAAAGGCCCGAACAGAAAACTGGTCTTAGTTTCTCAGCTCTAAGCGCACACCAGAATGTTGGACATCAAGGAGACCTATATCGTTTGTCATTTTATATTTATGAATGTGTACTGTGTGTAGGTTGTAAGGCAGTTGTGTGCTGTAAAAATTAAAGTCTATTAAAAAAAAAGAAAAAAAAAGTTCACGTCATACTGGTAATAAAATGACCTACCCTGGTCATGACAACTTGTTTTTTTACTCATCTCTACAATCAGCAAATTGCTCTTCACAGATGATACACCAATCAAGTAATAAATAGTATTTAAAATTCATTTCTAATGATTTTTGCAATCAGGGTGAAAAGGTCAAAATTGCTGATTTCAGAGGCCCTTTATTATAAAATATCACATCAAATCTTAAATTATTGTGGTTGGATACATCGGGTGGCCTAGTGTTCTCTAGTCCTGGTCTGGTTCCGGGATAATGAAATAATTTAACGAATTTTTTTTTAATCAGGTGAAATTTTAGTCATTGATGTCCTAGTTAATATTTACTTCTACTAATCTCAACTTCAGAACGTTTCTTAGTCCTAATTCTGAGACAGCTGTCACTCTCCCTGGGTGAACTCAGCGTTGCATGACCGCTATAGAATTATTTTAAAACATTATTTTAAATCCAAACCGCTAATTTTGAAGGTGGACTACGCCGCGTTAACGTGGAGTATGAACAATCGCTGTGGCGGCTGGTTTGATATCAATTTTGCGAGTGGAGGCTGGTCTGACTGCAGTCAGAGTAGTGTATGTATGTTTTGTGTTGTGAAATAACATAACAGGAGGACCAAACTCAAAAGTAACAACCAGTCAATCATTCACTGTGTCGAGCTCTGGCGGGATCCAGCAGAATCCCGGCAAATCACGTGACCGTTACATCAAATCCCCTACAGTACGGGTACCCATTAGCTCAAATACATACAACCAGGACCACCACCGTAAACTTCCAGCCCAGGAAAGCACAAAGTAAACTAACGGGGTTGACAAATACAAAACAATGATCAAAAGCAAATGCACGGAGTTGACATCAACCACACAGAACTCACCTGACCACATTCAAACAAACATTTGATTGTGCAAAAGTAAATGAGCCAACTCCTTAACAATTACACATTAAAACATGTCCCGTTGTCCATCCATTAACCCGCGATGCCCTGTCAGCAAAACCAGGAGTGTAAAGCCAGTAGACGCCACCTGTCTCGAGGTGAGGCTACGTAAAAGCACAGCAACGTGAAGCCAGGCGCCGTAAAACCAGGCAGCGTACAGTCAGGCTGTGCAGAGCACAGCGAAGCGAAGCAAACCAGCAGCGTCATTGATCCAGTCAGTGCCTCACATAAGGGCAAAAATAAATCCGTATTAATATAATAATATTTGTATAGTGTTGAGGATGGGAAGCAGGCTACTGTAGGGGGAGCTGTACATACCACCAGTCGTATGAGAACACCCAGGGAAACGAGGCGAGAAGAGCTTCACGGGCTACAATGATGAAACATCACATCAGGGTAGAAGTTGTCCATGAGCCACTGTATGAAACACCGACCTGTAAAGAAGCAGAGTAGTAAATGCATTGACTTTAAAAATTGTGAATTGTCCGACACGTGGAAGTAGCCACTGCCACATTACCTGCAGAAGTGCAATGGCAGAGAACGTGAGGCAATCAGAAAATGGGCGGAGCCTCAGAGCCAAGGAGCAAGAGGTTAAGCCGGCAGCATGGGTTTGCATTTACAGTACAGGTATAGTGTGATCTCGTATGATGATTGGCTGGGTACTTTGCTGCTGTGTATTGGGAATTTCTCCATTGCGAGACTAATAAAGGTTTTCTTATCTTATCTTATCTTATCTTAGCATCCTTGTAATTAGCACAGATGACAGCTCGTCCTGCTGGAGACATTTTGATCAGGATGAAAAATACACATCAATTGGCCTGGTTCTCACCTGTTGTCAACTAGGTTCTCTGAGATAGTACCCCATGATGAAAAACGTTCTCCCAGGTGGACGTTACATCTGCCTTCAAGCCTTTGGTGAGGCATGTAATCTTCCAAATGCCTTTAGAATTACTCCATGGGATGGAGGGTTTTCCGTTCATTTAGACTTTAGAGGAACCATACTGTGAGGTTAATAAACACCGCTCTCCAATATTTGAAGGAACTCACTCGGGGTGTTTTTTTTTTCTTGTGGGTTTTTGGACACAGTCCAGAATACAGCAGGTGATGAACGCCAAGTCGTATTATGGCGATGCTGAATGAATGGAGTCACAGGAAAAAAAAACAAATTAGTTTTCAACATTTCTGTCCACTTCACAATTATCTAAAATCGATATTTTATTTTGTTGTATTTCCTCAGGGATAAAGGGATGTCCACAAAGAGAAATCAAGCGTTGCATAAAATGCATTGCGAAAAACCGCAATGTATTCCACCATCATCTGTTTTATTTTATTCAGCATTACAAGAAGCAAGATTGATTGTATGTATTAATAACCTGTTCGTTTTGTTTTCTGTTTAGTGAGAATTTTATTCTGACTTGTTCAATAAAGATTATTAAAAAAAAAAAAGAAGCAAGATCAGACAAAAAGTGTGTGTAGGAGCTCCACTTGGTGGGGAAGTTGGCCAACTGCAGTTACGTTGTGGTATCACGTTACAAATGTAAAAAATTTGTTAAATTGTTAATTGTTATCATTTTATGTTTGAGCATTACAGTATAGTCTTTCACATTAAGGTTACCTAAATTATATTCCCTTTAATAATTACTTAAACATGTTTATGTTGAGAGCGTCTGATTTGCTGGAGGAAAGAAGGAAGTGTTTTAGAAGCCGGAAGGTGTGTTCTCGTTGGTATTGCGGAGGCATACGTTAAAAAACTAAAAGCTGCGTTCAAACGAAGTCCATCTCTCCTTTTTGCCTATTCTTGACGTAGAGCCATCCATTCGAAAACTACGAACCCCTCAACTTACAATTGGTGGCAGCGGTGTTGGTATGTTTTGTGTGGCTTTTTGACTATTGGTATGCAACGATTTTTCTTGCTAATTGTCATCTTGCGAGCCACGTGGATTTTTGCGCTCTACTGAATGGCTGCTGCTAGTCGCCAATTTGGATGAGATTTTGAGGTTTCCTACAGTTTGAATTTTCCCCTACCTTCATTATTTGCATCATTATACAACATTTTTGAACTCACCATGTCCAATACTGAGACGTCCATTAGTCAACCCCCTGAAATGGCTCATTCCACTGCTACTTCTGTGGCTGCTGCAAATGATACTCAACTAGGACACCTCAACATTGATTTAACACCAGTTTTTTAAAGGAGATGGGACCGTGTCTTTTACTAGCTTGTCTCAACGTTTTGAGGTGTCGATGCAAGCCATGTAAAATCAACCAACCATGGAACTGTCGTCTGTGTTGGCTTCAATTTTACCAACAGTCCCGTCGTGTTCAGCAAACACTAAGACGACCGAGGTAGAACAGGTATCATCAAGCATCTCATTCACACAGGTGATGCATCACCAATCAAGCAGAGAGCATACCGGGTGACACCCAACCAGCGACAGGAAATCCAGCGCCAAGTTGACAAGCTTCTGAAAGCACACATCATCGAAGAGAGCTACAGCCCTTGGGCCGCGCCTGTCCTTCTGGTCCGCAAGAGGAATGGATCTTGACGTTTCTATTTAGATTATAGAAAACTCATCGCTGTAAACATCAAAGATTCACATATTCTGCCAAGAGTGGACGATGCCTTGGATGCGCTCTCAGGTTCTGCTTGGTTTTCCACCATGGACCTTCAGCACAGATTTTGGCAGGTGGAGATGAAAGAGGAAGATCATGAGAGGATCTTGACAACATGAAGGCTGAATTTTGATTAATCACTTTTATTTGAAGAGGCAAATTTACACAATGAAACAAAGTGAGGCAGGGGAAAAAAAAGACATTCGACATGCCGTTAGGCACGATTACAATGCATAGTGCATACAGAAAGTATCCTGCCGAGAGGAAAACAGAAATTCAACATAAGTCAGGGTGAACATTTCCCCAACAAAATCCAAACATTTTCACGGAAATCCATCTATCAACTTTGAACCGTGATAATGCGGTCTTAGTACCACAAGCAGGTCAAAGCAAAAACTGAAGACTGTCACATTTTTAAGACAGATGCTTGACATCTTTTACCGTTTCACATTAATGAACTAAACAAGCTGCACGCAACATGGCTCAAACCGATAAAACACCACGGAACTGATGATGCACATTTGAAGGATTTGTCACATATTAGGCTCCTTTCAGTGGATACTTAAACGTACAGTAATTTGTTGAGGCAACGACAACAAACTATATTTCCTCTCGTTTTCAAGTCTTTTTTTTTGTCACGAATGTGGTTCCTGCTGAGTTCATCTGAAAACTGTCATATGCAGTCAAAGTCAAACAATATATAGCAAAAGCTAACTGAGCACAAACAAGAAACGACAATAGGGGTTCCGTGAACAATGGAGTGGTCTTGAATAACAGGATTCAGCAAATGACAGCACAAGGACAATTCAGCTTTTGAAACTTTGTTACACACACACACACACGCACACACACACACACACACACACACACACACACGACCAGGTATTTGAAGGATTTTTTTTAAGTGTTGTATCAATATTAAGATGCAACGACTTTACAGTCACATCCCACGGCTGTCATTCTGAGGCGGATGAGGTGCATTCAGTGATGACTGTCCATGGGACAGGAGGGATGATGAGGGCTTCGTCAGTAGTTCGTAGAATAGAGACGCAACCTGAAGTTGCTGTTAGCATCCTGCCGGGGTGTAGGGTGGTTGAAGGAATCTGGGGCTGCGGAAAGAGCCAGGAGGAGTGCCAGTAAATTCAAAGGGACGTATCATATGAGAAAAGGTTGCAGTGCATGCGTTGTTAGCAGTAGTCCTTGACGTTAGGCCAGTGCTTCTGAATTATTTTCTGTTCTGTCGTAATTTGTGCTGATTTTTTTTTTTTTTTTTTAATCAAGGATGATGTCTGGATTAATGGCTACAAGTAGCAGTCACAAAGCGGGTTGATTGTTGGCAATGTTCGGCACGTTTTCGCTGAAAAAAAAACTCAAGCGGCTCATCAGCGTGATTGGGGTGTAATGTCTTTAAGTGACACCTTAATTTATTTGGCTTCATGCTGCTTGCTGCCAACATTTTTAGACACAGTCGGTACACCGGTCTTTCCTCGTCTACCACCGTAGTCACAGTGAAGCCAAGCGCGACATACGCTTTGTCATATTTCCTCGTCTTAGCTTTCGGGAGACCTCTTTTCTCCGTCTCTCTACGCCTGTCGACTTCGTGTCTGCACTTCATACTCATACTCTGTGCTGTGTGCAAAGCGCGCATGCTCAGTGCAAACAAAACACCGAGCAATGCTCCCTGCGCACACTCTGCCAATGAGAGCGTCACTGCCCCCTAATGTAGTGGAGGTGCAATTGCACTTTATTGTAGGCCAGTAAAAAAAAATCTAAATTAAAAAAACATGTTCCCCAAGGTCAAACGCGCCCCGGCGCCGGGGGGGGAGGGGGGGGGCTATTATTACTACTACTGCTACACTTTGAGAAGCACTGCGTTAGGCCGACCAGGATTTTAAGCGCTATTTTGACGGATTGCGCTCTGATAATGACGTCATCGACTAAAAAGAGAATTACTTGCTGGTCACGTGTCTAATAAAAGGTATTTTGGTTTTGTAAAATTCTGTTTTGAGTATCTTTTAATGTCAATTGTTATATAAATGAATGAGAAACTGTGGAGCACTTACTCTCTGTCGCATGTGGCTCTCGTGCTGCGTGAGGTTCAGCCATTATAAATAGTAATTGTCAGAGATATGCCTCGAAAAAGTTGAACAAACAGACTCAGAAAGAGATTGTCTTTGTTGCCGGCAGGGAGCTCAGTTATTGATGAAGCCACTCAGTGTTCGCTTCTCCAACTGAAACTCAACTTTCTGTGCTCCATGCCGAACTTTTATTGGGAACACATGCAAATTTCAACTAACATATCAGACAAGCATTCTCCCTCGTTTGCATGCCGCACTTTTCAGCCGGCCCTCCAATACACCCCTCAGTAGACATTTTTAGACCAAGACAACTCCCTGGACAAACAATAGGTACTTTGCCATTTCTCCACGAACTGAGACAATTGTAACTTTACTCAAGGACATTCTCGTCACAGTGGGGGCACATCCTGTATTATCAGTTAACAAGCGCCTTCAATTTGGCCTTGATTCTCTGTGCTCCATTGTGTACAAGCTGCGAGAGCACACATGCCCGAGGTGAACCAAGCATCCAACAAAATGAAACTTTTAAACATGATAACTTTCTGTTTGTCTAGTCTCCAGCAGTAATATAAAATATAAAAATTAGTTTGGTGCAGAAAGAAAGGAGACACGTGTCGCAGAAGAGGAACTGAATCCGGAGTATGCCACACAAAACAACTCCATCCTGAGCGCCCCCCCGCATCTCCTTTTTTTGCATGGGGGAAAAAGGGGGGCGGGGGGTTATGTGCCATGGTCCTGTTCTGTTTGCCTCTAGTAGGTGGCATAGGAGGGCTTATCCTCCTTCTCCGCAACTGTTATGCATCATGTCATCAACTCTTGCCTGGTTAAATGGGACGAATAATTTGCCTTGCTCACAACTCTCGTCCAAGTGCTCATTTCCTAGACCTTTTTCGATTTCACTCAGGGTCATAGTCTCGTTAAATATCTCCTTGTTTTGTTCCATTTTTCGCATTGATCTGATACCGCAACTGGTCACTTTAGAATGGTTCGATGAGTTTCTTCACCAACTGTACAATTGTTATAGTATTTTATTCTACCACTGATCACTTTAGCTCTGCTTGATACTTTGCACACATTGTCTCACAGTTGTCACTGGGTGGTACCACCGCACAACGGTTCACTTGCATTACGGAATGTCCTTCCCTACTTATTTGTCATGTCCTTGTTTATGACGATACTGGTGCAGCGTGTTCTACCGGAGACAAATTCCTTGTGTGTTCTACATACTTGGCCAATAAAGATGATTCTGATTGATCTTGTTTTGGAGTTTTATCCTCGGCACGTTTTGATTTTCTTGTAATTGGCTTTTCCTTGTCCTTTGCGACAAGTGATTTTGTGTGTGTGTGTGTGTGTGTGTGTG